TCCCATGGCTTCAAAGTGGTGCGAATAAATGACCTAAACCGAAACAAAATGGGGTTTCTCTGGTTTTGTGGGGCAAAGGAAAAATCTAAACCCGTGGAACTTCATCCATTTCGTTACAAAAGGACACCTATGCTGGGTGCAACTCGAACGGCCATCGACCCGCTGAGCTTGCCGCTGGTGTCGCCATCGCTGTCGTTCTCGCTTTGGCCTCGCTGCACTCCAAACAAGGAACCCTGGGAGTCAAACCGCCGTTAAAACCACGGTTGGGTTCATATAAAACCTCCCCCCCGACTGCTTACCTAAGGATTCTTCTCATCCCAATTGACTTGAAAACTGGGGGGGGGGGTCTGAGTAAGCAAGTACCAGCACCAAAAAAACAACTGCTTTTTCCCATGTCCAAACTCCCAAGTACTGGCCAAAAAAAATGCCGTTGTTGGGCCCCGGGAGCCGGATTCTTGAGGGCCATGTGGCAAATATCTATCAAGGGAATTCAACTCATAAACCCCACCAAGATGCGCCGGACACAGCAACGAAGTTACTCAAATGCTCCTCCCGGCTTAAAGTCCAGGGGTGAGTTAAGGTACCGTAAACAACAGCGCGCACAAAGAGCCTCGCTTCATTACTTCATTTGCAGCGAATAGGCTGGGTGTAACAGACTACATGGCCTGGTGGTCTTCATTGTTCGGCACAGTCTGAGATTGCCCGAAGAAATAGCTGGTTTCCTTTTGGTTTCCCCCCAAATATATATATATATAAAAACAAGGGGTGGCCCTAGAAAAAACCTCCCCCAAATCTGTGCACTGCAGTTGTAAAGCTTAACCCCAAAACATGGTCTTGGACATTCCAAACTAGGGGCCCTTGTTGCTTCATTTTAGGAAGTCAACACGACAACAATCTCCTGAACAGGTCCCTTGTTTCACCACACACAAACACCAAAAAAAGAAAGCCACATCCATGGTTGGAAATAACCCTTGCACAAACAGAACGCGAAAAGAACGCTTGTATTTCAGGATAGGTCAAATTCACAGTACAATCTGCGCCAAGCGCCCCCAACAAAGCGGAGATGCCAAGTCTGCGGCCCATGTCGCTGGCGTTGCCTGGGCAACATGGCCAAGGCTTCTTGTGGACAAAGTCGAGGCACCCGTTGCTTGGCTGACGTTGGAAGGGGAGCAAAAACTTAAATTTTATCAGCGGAGTGGGGATTCCCAACTAAACCACAATAAGCAAAAATGTAAAATGTTTGCCAACAACCAGGGCGGGATTGGATGAAATCAAAGCCAAACATATTGCTTCCATCCGTGGTGTCTGTGCTTTGGGAAGCTGGCAATGTGTCCCACCGGAGCCAAAAGAACCCTCTGGTTCCAAAACCACGCTGATTTTCCATTGGCACCCACAAGCCACAGGCGATGTTTACGTCTTCCTGATACGAACCTCTCACTGACATCTTAAAACTCAATCAGGTCCTCCAGTAGAGAGGATAGAATAAGGGTACCCTTTTTTCTGTAGTTTATTTTACTAGGGTCCCCCAGAAAAGGGTAAACGGGCACTACTGGGGGACCTAGGTAACTAACACGGACCAACAATCGCAATGAGGTTCCTCTTAGAGAGCGACAGTCTGGCCAAACTACAATTCACAACCCACAAATGAGGGCAACCCCGACTAAAGGACCTTCATCTTGAGTGAGCTCCGTCTATACTCTTGTCAGCTCGTTACCTAGATGTGATGTTGGTTTCTTGCGCCCTTGCCACGCTTGCCACAGGTGCTTGCTGCATTTAGTCTTCAGCATACTCCCTGCTCCAAATACTCCGTGTTTTCAGTGTATTTGCTGAAAAATCTGTTTTTCCCCAGCATAAATTCCTTTTTCAATTGACATCACCTATTCTCAAAACGTGGATATTCGATTAGGGGGTAGCTGATGGGAATCTAGGATGGTTGAGCACATATAGTCCGAGAATCACTGCAACGCAATGCTTGCAATGCTCGGAACCTATCGCAGCCCTCTCCAAATGGTGGGTATCCTCCAGCTTCTGCTGTGCCTCACAAGGGCGAGGAGGAACCAAATTCCATGTGTCCAACCCTACCCAGAGCTCTTGCAAACAAAAGAGCGACATTGGCAAAAACAAGATGACCCTGCCTTTCCCCACATTTGGGGTATACAGGAAAACAACATGTTATGCTGTTGCCTGATATGTAGTCGACCCCAGAACAACAAATCTCCGGAGACCCCAGCTGCATAGTTACCAACTTCAACAGCTCAGAAAGTCAGCCTCTCCCAGCGCGGCCCCCTGCCTTCAGTCGAGCCTGCAGCCAGCCTTGGAGTTTGCGGCAAGAACACCTCATGAGCCTCTATGTGGAGGGGGCACGAAATAACATTCGCAAGCAAGACAGCAAGCAAGCAAGCAAGCAGGCAAGCAAGCAGGCAAGCAATCATGCATCTCAATATATGTATTAGTTCAATACACATAATATTATACAAGTTGCACCTGGCAACATTTAGTCCGACTGCCACACCCAAGCGTCACAGCATCTGAGGGGCCAGCAAACGCCGCATTTGGACTGATTGGTCATAGCTGGAGCCTGCCACGCTGGTACGCATTCCAGAAACAAGCAAAGCTCCCGGGTGGTCAGGATGTCAGACGTAGACAACCTTTTCCTCCGTTTGTCCGGTAGTAGTGTGACACCGAAAGTGGGAACAAATAGTCTTAAGCAAATGGAAGTTTCGGAACGCAGGTCCGCCATTCAGCGCACTTTTGGAAAATCGGCTCACCATGTCCACCGCACTCTCTCCCCTAAAAATATATAAGTGTTGGACCCCCGATTGAAGCAGTCTTCCCAAGATGCTCTGCGTTGGAAAGTCCGGATTTGGAGGGCAAGTTCGACATCGCAAGCTAGAGCGGACGGGGATCGCGCATGAAAACCCCGATTTCACCCCTCTTGGGATGAAATGTTCTACAAAACAAATACTCACTTCCCAAGTTGACTGGCAAAAGTCCAAACTTTGTATTTACCACTAAAATGGTCTTTCCAAAAAGTTTAAAGTCCACCAACTCAGGAAGTGAGAATATACGGCTTTTCGGGAAGCCAAGAAAAACACCCAAAACATGGTTGGTTCCTAGGGTAGGACGCAGCTGACTAGAGGGTCCGGCAACAAAGCTCTGACCCAACTCTTCGGCAATTTGGCAAGGGAAGCTAGCTGGGTGTGTCTTGCAACAGGGGAATGGCATCTTGCTTGCGCAATTGGATCCAACCCCAAAAAGGGTAATAACAACAAAAAAAGAGGAATGCCCATGCTGCAAGTGTTGCATTAGTTTGAACACCCGGCATATAAGGGATCCCCAGGAAAAGGATCTTTACCATGGCGAGCTCGGACCCATGTACTCAGCTTCCAGCCTAAGCTCCCTCGAAGAAAAACACTCATGTCGATTCCCTGTAACAATGTGAAAATGAACAAAATCTGCATCTCAATCATGACAGAAGCGCTTGGGTGCAAAAACGCAGGGCATCCCAGAACCAGGACGTACCCTTCTGTCCAGCAAATGGAAGTCTGTCGCCCCGAACCGAAAAACCTCACCGACCCGAACGAACATCCACTCGAATCCAGAACCAACGCCACGTTCGAAAAACTCCGGCAGCGAGGCGGTTCAGCTCGGGCTCATTGGTGCAGGCCTCGCCCTTGGCCCACCTGGCGGAATGTGCTCAAACCCTCTGCCTGGACCCTCATCAAAACTACCACATCTCCCTCCAAACCATCTGGAATCAAATGGCAGATGATATCCCTCGTTTTAAGGGGAGTTTGAGGGTCCAGGTACCCGTAACAACTGGCAAAGTGGCCCATTTGGGGCCAAGAACCAATTTTTGTGGAGTTTTAGTGGTCAGAGGGCCAGCTGCAGGTACGTCGCCAGTAAACCCAAAGGCTCCGAACTTCCTTTCGGTCACCAAGACTCTTCTGAAAGCAGGGCCTGACCCCTTCGGAGCCCTTTGTTGGCTCCAAAGGAAACCGCCCGGTTTGGGGCTGAACGACTTCAAGAAGCCGCCATGCTCGTTGGCTGTTGTGTGGTTGTGTGTGTGTTTTTGAGGGTGCCTGAGACCTCAAACTACCCTTCAAAAGGGAAGCCACCCCATAATTTGGGGCAAGAATTCATTCTTCTGAGTGAGGTGCCTGTTAACTTTGGTTAGGGAAACAAGGAATACCGAAACCACCTTTTGGGTCAAGTGGACGCATACCTATGTGGGAGTGTCTGTTTTGGAGTTGGTACCTTTCTGTCTCGGTTTTAGCCCAGAATCTCCAAAAAAGCAAACCAACATTTGTTGGGTCCCCTAAACAAAGAATCGAATCACAACCTGACAAGCAAGCAAGACAGTTGAATATCTTACCCGGAGGCGTGCAGTTCGCTTTTCCCCTCGCTTCAGCACACGAGCAACAGTTTCGCTTTATCTTGCCATGCGGGCAAGCACAGCACTGCAGGCAGACATCCTTTCGCTTTCATGTGGACAGCCAGTGCATTGCGTACAACCACGCCTCACCTTGCCATGCGGGCAGGATGTGCATTCCAAGCAGTTGCGCTTGATCTTGCCATGTGGCCATGCGCTGCACTGCAGGCAGTACGCCTTTTGCTTACCGTGTGGGCATGCACAACACTGTCGGCACCTATTCCTTGCCTTGCCATGTGGGCATGCTGCACAGCTTGCAGCAGGCTTCCCTCAGTTTGCCATGTGGACGGCCAGTGCATTTAGCGCAGCATCGTCTCGCTTTGCCATGGGGACATGATCTTGAAGACTTGTGCTTGACAATGCCAGCATCATCTCCTGCTCCTTTTGAACATGCTGATGCGGATTCTCCGGCTTTCGCCGGCATGGTGCTTGCACAGCTAGCTTCTGGCCGATCCCATTGCTTCCTGCAAGCGATCATGCTTTCACTGGTGACCAACTCCTGAAATGTTTGCAGCAGTGACTGCAAGCATCGCAGCACGGGCGCAAGGCGCAAATCTATCAGGTCCACTCAATCCAGGCAGCCAAGCACGATTTTGCGAAGCCGGGATTGCATGTTGGTGGCCAGCGTCGACTGGTCGTTGCATGCAATGGATGCCGGCATCTTGCCATCGCATCCATCACCCAAACACCGTGGCGGGGAGAGCGCAGCAACGGCTCGGCGCAGGACCATGCGCAGCTTGGCCGAGATCTCTTCGTCGGCCAACGCTTCCCGCCGCTCGGACGGGTGATTCTGCCACGTTTTTTTTATGGCCTTCTGCATCAGCCGCCAGGCAAAGTCAACTGGCTGGTCGGAATCCTGCTTTTGCGGCTCTTCTGCCTGCATCATCCACGCTTTTGTCTTCTGCCCTTTGCCCGGCAACCTCAGGAGGCGCGCGAGTCCCGAACTTCCAGCTGAGACAAGTGACAGAACCCCCAAGCGCTCGCAAAGTGGCCCATCATCCAAGGACTACAAGTATCTTGACAGCAGTGCCTCCAAGGACCGCTTTGGCATCCTTCTCCTGCGCACTCGCATGGTAGTGCACTCGTCCGCGCCATGCAGTTTTGGCTGCCAGCTCATCTTGAAGGCTGATGTTGAAAACCATGGAGCTTTCAAGTGCCACAATGGCAGTCCTCTTGATTAAATGGCTGCAAGTTAACAATCGCCTGGGGACAAAGGCCAAACTCACAAGTGCTTCTCGTCTTGGCCGGAGCTATGGTTCCAGGCGCAAGCCTGGGGCAATGCTTCCATCCGACTTGGCGATGCTTCCAGCCGCAAAACACATGGGACGAGTTGCACAAAGCATGATTGGAGTTAGACCCAGTTATAGAACCCCTATTTAATTTGCTTGCTTCACTCGGAGTCACTGATGTAAACATATGGTAAACATAAATAAAATGTATCCTCAGTATTAACGCCCTGTGCTTGTTTGCCAAGCTGATCAACATGAGACTGCTGCTTTGCTGGAGGCCTGACCGGGTTGCAGGGCTCGAGGTTTGCTAGATGGCAGCCAATGGAAATGACACAAAAGCACTGCCGGCCCACACTCGGGGGAACTCCGAGCTGGTCATGTGTCTCGCAATCCTTGCTCACAAGCTTCTACCCATGCAAAAGGATGATTCCTGAGCCCCCCTTAATGACTATGGCCATGGCTTCCTTCACTGAAACTCTTGCAGTCCAAAATCCAAGACATCCATGACCATCACAAGGCCAAGCAAGAACGGTGTTCTCGCCATGGCTTGTCACTACCAACTAACCAACTGACCCATTTTCAGGTGGTTGGGGTCATGCTAGCTAAACATAGGTACTCTGAGAGAAGGAGCATGCAAACCCTATTCTAAATGCTATGACAGGAGACACTGCTTTTCCCATCCAAGTCTGCTGATGGGTTCCCTTAAAACTGCCACTCTTTGAGGTCCCAGAAAGGGACCAAAGAAAACACACCCCTGCATACACATGATGTTGGCTTCTTTTGCACATCCATGGGCTTCCTTGACACCGGACGCCTGAAACCAACCCCGGGATCTCGATCCCGCAACCCGTTTCCGACGTCGCCCGCCTGGCAAGCTCCAGCCATTTCTGCAGGTGCCGCTGAAACCAGTCGAAGGGCGCCTGGAGCAGCCACCAAAAATGGCAACGAGGGGCCCTCGTTTTTCGAGGCTGAAAAAACGAAAGGGGCCGAGTCGATTTGTCCAAAAGAACCACGACCTCACTTGCCCAGTAAAAGGACCTGGACATACAAGGTGATTAGCTTCTGCCAGAAGCTAATCACCTTGTATGTCCAGGTCCTTGTCTGGGGCCACTAAACACGGGGGATTCCCAACAAGACAAAAGGTCAAATTCGGTCGATTCGCTTTGGAGCCTTTCAGAGCCTAGCCTCGAAGCAAAAAGTGGAGAACTAGTTGCCCAAAGTCCTCGAAAGTCTTCGCCTTCAAAAGCGAAGTCCCACCCAGGGGAGTTTTGAACCACTACAAATCAACAGGTTGAAAGGGTCCCAACCCCCCCCCAAATAAAACATTGGTAATCCTATGCGTTTCCCTTCCGAGACCTCAAAAAGGTAGGGCCTCAGACTACCCTTGAAAGAAAGGGACATCACCCCAAAAATGTGGGTAGTTTCGGGGCTTTAGGATGGTTTTTCGGTCTCGTTTGTCTTAGCATCGAGCCACGAACCGAGACCGAGCGGAAGGAGAATTTGCCTCCGAAGCCTTCGCCCAGAAGCGGCACTGCCTGAGCCGAGAGACTCGATCGCACGAGCCTCTGGCTTTCCACCGAAACCCGCCGGTCCCTTGAAGCCCTTGGAGGACTCATCAAAGACTCTGGGAGAATGGGTTTTCAGAGGCGAAATTTGTCCATTGGGACCCTTGGAGGACCCAGACTCTTGGAGAATGGGTTGAGGCCTTTATTGGTCCATTGGGGACTTTCTGAGGATGGAAAAGGGGGTCATTGGGTGCATCCTCGCAGGGTACCAAGAAATCTTAGGGAATCAAAGGTCACTTCGCTTAATGAGCGGTAAGGCTGCAATTCCAATAGCCTCTCAATATGTGGTTGATACCAGAGAATGATATCCAGCTGAGTTGTGAAACAAATTCCCACCCAACGGTGACCATCTTTTGTCCCTAAGGGTCCCTTGGTACCCTGTCACATACCAAATTACCCCTTGTCCATCCTCAGGTACCAAGGGATCTGGGTAAGTTTCCATCGATGTGACGTTCGACGTTCAACCAAGCAAAGCCGTGGTTACTTGGGTGTTCGATTCGCCAAGTTAGTAAGTTGTTGGCAACCTAGGGTATAACTCACTTAGAAGTGGGTAAACCTTGTCATTAAGTGAACAAGCCCAGTTGGCTAACCACTTAGGTCACTCAGTCCCGTCCTCAGCATCCCCTCGAAATGGACCAACAGCAGGAAGCACCGATGTTATATTTGCAAATAATGAACACTTGAGATGAGCACCTGAGGAATCAACCAGTGCCTGAGATTGGTATGAAGCTACAATAACCTATACATGACTGATGATTCGCACTTTGTCTCCGAGCTCTCCTTATTGACCTCCATGAGGCTTTGTTCACATCAAGAACACCCTCAAAAATGCCCAGCCATATTGACCTGAGCGTTTTGCTCCTGTCAAACCGAAGCCTCAGCGCGTGGACGGAAGTTGCCTCCGGAATATGGATCCCATACTTTCCCTGTTCTGCTGTTTAAATATCACCTTCTTATAGGTCCTCGCGAGCCTCTGGGAAATAGCGGGAGCCATGCGCAACCAAATGGAAAGCTCCTGGGCTTACCTTACGCAAGATCGAGCCATTCCTCCTGCACCACCAGACTGGCCTGTCTTCAAATTATCTTTCTTGTGACTTCCCTTCGAACAAATCCAAAAGGATGAACGCAGGACTTGCTCTCATTCACAAACTACGTCTCTTCCACTGCAACCGTCGGCACTTGGCTCGGTCACGTGCCAAGCTGATTGGCAAGATCATCACAGCAACCTACTCTTCAACCCAAAAAAACGCGACAATTGGGAGTGCCTTCTTTTGGAGTTTGGAAACTGCAAGGAAACCAAATAAATTCGGCTGGTGCACTCATTTCCTGAGCGGACTGGCCCAATAATAGTCCGCACTTCGTGTTTACCACTCAAATTAAATCGTCTCCCACAAAAAGCATAGAATCCAGGAACTCAGCCAGCGACTTTCAGGGGAAACCACCGGGAAAACGGTTGCAGCGTTCCCATCTCGGGGTCTCTGAGCTTCAGGCAGGCGGTGCGTCCGCAGCGGTGCCAAGTTGTAGCCTGCCCGGTGGACGCGATGGACGCGGTTCCTCTGGCCAGGGCCTCTTAGGTATGTGGCTGGCCTTAGGACCCCAGCAAAATCTAGGAGTTGGTTCCAACTCCATTCTCTTCAAGCATCGTTCTTTTCAAAGAAAAACAAAAAACACGCCGCTTTCCCTGGGTATCCGGATATTTTCTAGAAAGAAGGATCCCTGGAAATAATGGGGGAGGTACCCCTAGGAAAAAAAACGATATTATTTTTGCCTGGTCAGTGGAAAACAAAGGGGGCCCCAAAAAAGCAGGAAAAAACAACAGATAACAAGGGGGGAACCAGTTCCAGGGAAGTCCAGATATAATTGAAAATCAGATGGGCAAGAAATTGCGTTGGGGGCTGAACTTCCCCAGCCTACCCTACCCCCCGGCCATCCCGCACAGCCCACACCCAACCGTATACCCCACCCCCCCGCACCCCATCCACCCACCCCACCCTATCCACCCACCCCACCCCATCCACCCACCCCACCCTATCCACCCACCCCACCCTATCCACCCACCCCACCCCATCCACCCACCCCACCCTATCCACCCACCTTCACCCTATCCACCCACCCCACCCCATCCACCCACCCCACCCTATCCACCCACCCCACCCTATCCACACCCCCCCATCCACCCACCCCACCCCATCCTATCCACCCACCCCACCCCCCCACCTCCACCCACCCCACCCTATCCACCCACCCCACCCTATCCACCCACCCCACCCCATCCACCCCCTCCACCACCCTATCCACCCACCTTCACCCTATCCACCCAACACACCCACCCATCCACCCAAACCCCCACCACCATCCCCCACCCCACCCATCCACCCAACCCCACCCTATCCACCCACCCCACCCCAATCCACCCACCCCCCCCATCCACCCCCCGTCACCCATATCCACCCACCCACCCCACCCCACCCCCACCATCCACCCACCCCCACCCCATCCACCCACCTTCACCCTATCCACCCACCCCACCCTATCCACCCCACCCCACCCCATCCACCCACCCCACCCTATCCACCCACCCCATCCCAAGCCAACCCAATCCACCACCCACCCCTATCCCACCCAACACCCACCCATCCACCCACCCCACCACCCATCGCACCCCCCCAACCCACCACCCATCCTATCCACCCACCTTCACCTATCCACCCACCCCACCCCATCCACCCACCTTCACCCTATCCACCCTCCCACCCTATCCACCCACAACCACCTCCCATCCACCCACCCCACCCTAATCCACCCACCCCACCCTATCCAACCAACCCCAACCCCATCCACTCCCCCCCACCCTATCCACCACACCACCTTCACACCTAATCCACCCACCCACCCCACTCCACCCACCTTCAACACCCAATCCACCCACCCCACCCTATCCACCCACCCCACCCCATCCACCCACACCCCCACCCCATCCACCCACCCCACCCATCCACCCACTCCACCAACCATCCACCCACCTTCACCCTATCCACCCACCCCACCCCATCCACCCACCTCACTATCCCCACCCCTTCACCCTATCCACC